CCCAAGAGCATTCGTGGCAAAGTGAAGTAATGATTAACTTGTTAAGGTTATGCGCTGCATTAACATGGTTCGAGTCCCGCTGGTGGTGCTCATGAGAGCTGGGTGAGGTCGAGGCTGCCGTCCAACATGAATAAAAATCCCTTTTGAAAAAGCAAGGCCATGCGAAAAGAAATGAAAAGGTAACGTCTACTCATAGCATCGTGGGAAAATTCAACTAACAGTCCCTCATCACCTTAAACGAAATAGAATGAATACATCTCATTTACATAATTTACTAGTGTCTCGAAAACATACATATTTTTGAAGTGGATTTTAATGATTTCATAAAATCTTCTAGTTTAATTTTAAGGAAGACAAATGTTCAGTCGTTCAATGACATCAACAACCTAGGCCGAGAAAGTATTTATATGAAGTGGGTTTTGTGATTATCAGCAACTCTTGAATAAGAGTTTTAATCAGCCTAAGTCATATAAGATGATAAAGTACTGATAGTTGAGTTTTCGCACAAGCATACGAATAAAACTTACGTTTCCATAGAATTTCAATCAGTCTTGCCTCACAAATGATATTGTCATCCAGGATTGAATGCAATTTGACCTCATCTTGATCTCACACACACCCCCAGCTGGAATCCAATCCGTACAGTGTATAACCTTTATCACCTACTGCGACTCTCATTCAAGATGTACGGAGAGTTTTTATGTCTACCTTATGTGAATACAAATTAAGAAGTCGAGTGTGATTGCAAACTATTTTTCGTATTTAAGTAAAGTTTTGTGACTACCAGTAAGGCAGTTATATGAGATGTATTCACCCAATTTCGTTTAGGGTGATGAAGGACTGGTAGTAGCTTGTTCCCACAATTATATGAGTAGAGCTAACTTTTCCATTGAATGTTACATAGACTTGCTTTCCCAAAAGTTGTTCTCTTCCAGGCACCAGTTAACTGCAGTTTCGACCTCTCATCGGTCTTATCGACACCCCCAGCGGGAGTCGAACCGTGACAGGGCAGAGTGTGAACTTGGCACGTTAACCACGAGGGCCTTGGGTCACAGGGCAGATGTGAATTTCAAGGAAGGCCAGGTCTTTTTGTCATATCACATTCTTTGGTGGGATTGCCGATGAAGCAAACGTATATTTGCTATAACAATCGACCAAGTTACTTATTTTTCGTATGTAAGTAGAGCTTCATGATTATCAGTAAATCAGTAATATGAGAAATACTACTACTACTATTACTACTACTACTAATAATAATACTGCAGGAAACCCTACTTAAATACGAAAAATAAGTAACGTAGTCGATTGTTACAGGAAAAAAACGTTGCTTCATCGACAATCCCACCAAAGAATGTGATATGGCAAAAGGCCTGGCCTTTTTTGAAATTCACACCTGTCCTCTGACTCAAGAGCATCGTGGCAATGTGGTCGAGTGGTCTACGTGTAAAGCTGACATGCTACACCGTCACGGTTCGACTGCCGCTGGAGGTGTTGGTAAGATCGAGGCGAAGTCGAAACTGCAGTCCACTTCAGCCGGGATGAAAACAACTTTTAGCAAAGCAAGGTTGTGTGAAATTGCATGTAAGCGTCAGCTCTTCTCATATCATTGTGGAAAAATTTTTCTACCATTCCTTCATCACCTTAAAATATTTGTTTTCCTAACTCACAATCCCACCATAAATGCGGGATAGGAGAAGCCTGGCCTTATTTCATTTTGGCGTAGTGATAAAAGTGGAACTTTTGCGCTGCATTACTAAAACCCGAATTCGACTCCTGTCGTGGGTGCTGATAAGACTCAGGCTAGTTCGAAGTTGCATTCCATCCCAGACGAGAATACTCTATTCAATGATATGATATGATTGTAGTAAAAATTAAACTACACGTCTTTGACCACCTTATGTGACTTGAGAGGACTGGACTTGTGATAAAATTCTTATTTCAAAATTTCCCATAGTCTCGAGACCTAGTCACATCAAATTAGGCTGACCGAACTCTTCCCACCTCTATAGAACCCTTTTAGCACAAAAAGCCCATCACTTGAGGACCAAGCTGACGCAGAGCTCTTCTATCTTCTATCTTCCACCTGCTTTGGATGATCGAGAGAAACTTGTTGGCCCGCCCAGTCGCTCCAACGCCTGGGCTCGGGTCATTTGGTGTGTTTTAAGGATAGGCAAATAGGAGGGCGTAAAGCATCACCTGGCGCGAAGGTTTCGGTGGGCAAGAGACAGCGGTCCAGCGTCAGCAACGCCGGCGACAGCAACATCCAATCACGAGGATCAGCAGCCTCCAATTTGTCCACGGCTGCGCTTATTGTAGCTCCGTTTGCCTCCAGTTGTCTGGGGTTGGCGCCATCCGAAAGATGGTGGGTGGAACGGGAGGAGGCAGGAAGTGGACACGAGACGGAATGGCAGGAGAGGAGAAAAAAGTAGGGAGAACATTTTGATAGACAAACAAGTGTAGCGTTGTCAAGATGATACAGACAAACGGAGGGACGGACTGGCAGAAGTGGGCATTGTAATGTTCATCTTCACGTTAATCAGAACTCAACCCCCTATTTCACTGCATTCACACTCCCTCTCTTTCTATGATTCCTTATCTTCCATGAATCGTAGCCCTTTTCTTGCAGTTGTTACGATCGCCACGACAACTACAAAGAGACTTAAACAATCCAATCAGATCGCGACGACCTGCTCCCCTTGACCTGGGCTGGCCAGGTTTTTCCGAAGGATCTTATATTTGAAATAATGTACATTGTAGTCAAGGCAACAGGCAAAGGATGCTGCTTGAGCACCACAAAAACACAGCTAGAAATAGCACTTTAGCCATCTTTTCGGCATTAAATAAATTAAAGTTTTGATGACTCAGGCCATAGTGCAGCTTGTGTCTGATGAGAATACAAATTAAGAAGAGAATGGGACAACTCCCGTCAAAAGTTGATTTCGAGCAAATGCGTTTCCCCAAACGTGTCCAACCGAATTTCTTAACTTTGACGAGCAAGACGCTGTGATCATTGGTTTAGTTGCAGTTTACTTTTGCTGTACAGAATTAGTTGAACCTCGTTTTCACAACTTGGTCGTGTTATCAGAGCGACCCCAAAGAGACTGTTTCTTATACCAATGTTGTGTAGTTCTCTTCCAATATCGCACAGCGGAGGGCGTTTCGCCCTCACGGCGTAGCAACCGCCTCAGAACCGAATCATTTTTACGTGAGAATCTCTTCGGCCAATT